GTCAGGGCAGTCAGGGTGTGGGACGCTGTGGGGACCGGAGTCAGGGCAGTCAGGGTGTGGGGACCGGAGTCAGGGGCAGTCAGGGTGTGGGACGCTGTGGGGACCGGAGTCAGGGCAGTCAGGGTGTGGGACGCTGTGGGGGCCGAATGCTCTCAGGACGTCCCGGTGCCCTGGACACCCACGGGCCGGTGGCGTTTGCTGAAAGCCCGCTGGTGTGTCTGCTGCTTGTTTTATGCGCAGCGAGCGACCCCTCCCGTCTCATGAAGGTGTGTGGTGGCCTCACCCCCAAGCCAGCACAGGGCAGGGCCGATCCACCAGATGCTTCTGACCCTGCCTGGGCGCCCTCTGACCCTGCCTGGGCGCCCTCTGACCCTGCCTGGGCGCCCTCTGACCCTGCCTGGGCGCCCTCTGACCCTGCCTGGTGCCTGTGCCCTTTGCAGCTCCCTTTCTGGGGGCTCCTCTGAAGGAGCAGGGCCCTCGCCAAGCTGCATGCAGCTGGGGCCAGCAGCCTCACAGGGGGTGCAGATGCTGGGCTCCCTCTGGGCACCCAGTCAGTGCCAGATGCTGGGGGGGGAGCAGTGCGGGAGCGCCTGCCCTCAGGACACTCCCAGGTGGTCGGGGGCGCCAGTGCTAACAGGGCTGCAGGGGGCACTGAACCCAGCTGGGAGGGACCTTGCGGGGGGCACTGAACCCAGCTGGAGGGACCCGGGGAGGGGGGAGTACTGCGGGGGGCACTGAACCCAGCTGGAGGGACCCGGGGAGGGGGGAGTACTGCGGGGGGCACTGAACCCAGCTGGAGGGACCCGGGGAGGGGGGAGTACTGCGGGGGGCACTGAACCCAGCTGGAGGGACCCGGGGAGGGGGGAGTACTGCGGGGGGCACTGAACCCAGCTGGAGGGACCCGGGGAGGGGGGAGTACTGCGGGGGGCACTGAACCCAGCTGGAGGGACCCGGGGAGGGGGGAGTACTGCGGGGGGCACTGAACCCAGCTGGAGGGACCCGGGGAGGGGGGAGTACTGCGGGGGGCACTGAACCCAGCTGGAGGGACCCGGGGAGGGGGGAGTACTGCGGGGGGCACTGAACCCAGCTGGAGGGACCCGGGGAGGGGGGAGTACTGCGGGGGGCACTGAACCCAGCTGGAGGGACCCGGGGAGGGGGGAGTACTGCGGGGGGCACTGAACCCAGCTGGAGGGACCCGGGGAGGGGGGAGTACTGCGGGGGGCACTGAACCCAGCTGGAGGGACCCGGGGAGGGGGGAGTACTGCGGGGGGCACTGAACCCAGCTGGAGGGACCCGGGGAGGGGGGAGTACTGCGGGGGGCACTGAACCCAGCTGGAGGGACCCGGGGAGGGGGGAGTACTGCGGGGGGCACTGAACCCAGCTGGAGGGACCCGGGGAGGGGGGAGTACTGCGGGGGGCACTGAACCCAGCTGGAGGGACCCGGGGAGGGGGGAGTACTGCGGGGGGCACTGAACCCAGCTGGAGGGACCCGGGGAGGGGGGAGTACTGCGGGGGGCACTGAACCCAGCTGGAGGGACCCGGGGAGGGGGGAGTACTGCGGGGGGCACTGAACCCAGCTGGAGGGACCCGGGGAGGGGGGAGTACTGCGGGGGGCACTGAACCCAGCTGGAGGGACCCGGGGAGGGGGGAGTACTGCGGGGGGCACTGAACCCAGCTGGAGGGACCCGGGGAGGGGGGAGTACTGCGGGGGGCACTGAACCCAGCTGGAGGGACCCGGGGAGGGGGGAGTACTGCGGGGGGCACTGAACCCAGCTGGAGGGACCCGGGGAGGGGGGAGTACTGCGGGGGGCACTGAACCCAGCTGGAGGGACCCGGGGAGGGGGGAGTACTGCGGGGGGCACTGAACCCAGCTGGAGGGACCCGGGGAGGGGGGAGTACTGCGGGGGGCACTGAACCCAGCTGGGAAGAACCCAGGGACGGGGGAGTACTGCGGGGGGCACTGAACCCAGCTGGAGGGACCCGGGGAGTGGGTACCACAGAGGCTCCCAGGAGGAGGCGACTCTGAGGAGTGTCACAGGGTCAGTGGCCGGGAGGGCGTTTCCAGGGAGGGCGCTGTCCCTGTGCAGACACACGTGGGTGACACAGTGGCCAGGGGTTGGCAGGAGAGACTGGGCAGTTGGGGTTGGCCTTCCCTTCCTGCCATCTGTGTAACCCCTGTAGCAATGGGTGGGTTGTGCGCGCATGCGTGTGCACGTGTGTGTGTGCACGTGTGTGAGCGTGTGTGCGCGCGGCCCAAAGCGCCTGCCCGCAGGGTGAGCGCGGCCTCTGCTGGGCCCGCAGGTACGAGGAGA